CTCAGCCCCCCTTCCCCAAATCAAAATTCTGGCTACGGGCCTGCCTCAGGCTGTTAGGAATGGTGGGGGTTGACGTCCAAAACACCTGGAGGGCCCAAGTTTGCCCAGGCCTTGTGTAGAATGGAGGGAGTTACCCATGCCTGATGTAGAATGGTGGGGGTTGACGTCCAAAACACCCGGAGGGCCCAAGTTTGCCCAGGCATGTAGCCGGGGGGGGGGGGGGCTTGAGGGGCTTCAGCCCCCCCCCCGAAATTCTCATGGTGGTTCGCGAAAAGGCCTTACTGGTGCATTATTTAAACTGTTATGTTTATTCATATCATGATCTGATCACCCTACTCAATATATCCCATATGCATGGGGGTATTGGGGTAACGATACAAAAGGTTTGCTAGGGTAGACCCTCTTTCACTCAGACTCAGCCCCCCCCCCCCCAATCGAAATCCTGGCTACGGGCCTGGCCAGGCCTGGTGTAGACTGGTGGGAGTTGACGTCCAAAACACCTGGAGGGCCCATGTTTGCCCGGGCCTGGTGTAGACACACCCTTTGAGAAGGGCCAGGCATATTATTGACGACTGAGAATCCCAGAGAAGAAGGCTTGGTACAACTGAAATCAATCAATCAATCAACCAATCAGTAAACAACGTGGGCAAAAAAAATTATCTCTCGCCGTTAAAAGAACTGAGCAAGGCCCAACAAGGACGCCTTGACTGGGATTCCGGATCCCTTCACATACACCCGCAAAATCACCATAGCAACGGAGCTCTTCTCGCAGGTGCCCCTCACGCCCCCCCCCCCTTGCACCTGGAGCTGTTCCTGAACTCCCCCCTCCCCTCCCGTTCCAATACAAATGGATTGGGCGGTCCCGGTCACCCACAATGCCTTGCGGCCTTTGGAGACCTAGGCGATGAGGAAACCCAGCACAAGGTTTCTTCCTCAGGGAAGAAAAGGAAGCGAGGCGGTCATGCGATAGCCTCGGCGGGGTTTGACTATTTTCCTGGCTGACAATCAGAAAGATGGATAATAGATCCTTTAAAAAAAAGACAATACTGCGAATGGAGAGGACAGCCTGGCCTTCCATGGTTGGAGTTCTCAATATGGAGTTGTTCTTAAACTATGTAACACTTAATTGGTTCTATCATAGAAACGTGGAAAAAGTGGATTAAAGCTACAGAAAACTGGACATCTTGCGGCACATTTTGTTACAATTTTTCAATGAATATCTCAACTAATTTAACCTAGTTTGTGGCAGCCACAAAAACGGAAGTTTCTGGAGCAGAACAACTACTTTCAAAGTACACAATGCACAATTAAACAGGAAATAACAGTTTTAAACCAGGAACAGAAAAGCCTTCACATTTTGTTAAGGTTAAAAGGTTTTCCCCTGACATTAAATCCAGTCATGTCCAACTCTGGGGTTGGTGTTCATCTCCATTTCTAAGCCCAAGAGCCAGCGTTGTCCATAGACACCTCCAAGGTCATGTAGCCGGCATTACTGCATGGAGTGCCATTACCTTCCCACTGAAGTGGTACCTATTGATCTACTCACATTTACATGTTTTCGAGCTACTAGATTGGCAGAAGCTGGGGCTAACAGTGGGAGCTCACGCTGCTCCCCAGTTTCAAACCTGTGACCTTTCAGTCAACAAGTTCAGCAGTTCAGCAGTTCAACTCACTGCGCCACTGGGGGCTCACGTTTTGTTACATAGTGTTATTTAAATGACCAGTCGGTGGAACTGACATATTGGAAACACACTTGGATGAGTCACACACTCTCAGCCTTAAAGGGAGGCAAAGGGCATGGGCAAACTTCGACCCTCCATGTGTTTTGGATTTCAACTCCCACAATTCCTAACAGCCGGTAGGAGTTGAAGTCCAAAACACTTGAAGGGCCAGAATTTGCCAATGCCTGTCCTACACTGTAGAATGAATGCAGTTTGGCACTACTTGAACTGTTATTTCTTATGAAGTTCCAGAAGTAGTAGTTTTACAAGATTACCAGCCCATGTCAAAGAGTGCTGTTGCCTCACCAAAGTACAACTCCCACGACCCCATTGCATTGTGCTATGGCAGTAAATGTTGGAAACAGCAACCTTCTACAAGCCTCCTATACTAGTGATTTGTTATGTAGATAATTCAGATTGCTTACTATATTGGTGTATGTGAATATTGGTATGCAGTTTCTTCTTAACTTTAAGGTTGTGGGAGGGACTGCAGACCATGTGATCAGATCTGGGACTATTCAGACTGAAACTGCATTTTAGATGTCAGTGTTCATTATTCATTAGACATGAGACTGCATCAGACTGCTTGAGTTATGCTTTAGATCATTGGTTCTCATCCCGTGGTTTCCCAGGTGTTTTGGCCTACAACTCCCAGAAACCCTAGCCAGTTTACCAGTTGTTAGGATTTCTGGGAGTTGAAGGCCAAAACATCTGGGGACCCACAGGTTGAGAACCACTACATGTTACAGAGAAGAGACTGCAACAGAATGCCTTAGAGAATTTACTGTTAAAATTTTCAACTGATAAGCAATGTACCTATATGCTGAATACATTAAGTTTGTAAGTAAAACAACTATGTTACTTTTAACGAAGACTACCTTATTTTTGTCTCTTGGGAGCATTATTTAAAACCTAATATGGGAGAGTAGATGTTTTTGGGCCACTGAAATAACACTTCTGAAGACCTGCTGTATATTTTGTGCATTGGCATAATCTTTGTTCCTAACAGTTCAAAGAGGTAACCCAAGGATATCAGTCTAATAACTGAGAAACCTAATTTGCCTTGCATGAATACTAGTGGATAAAAGAGAAGATTCACTCAAATGAATTTTTAGCTCTTCTCAGGAAGATTATACTTTACAAAAAGGTTATGATTTTCCAAATGGTAGTGAATGCCAATTAATCTCCAAAAGGCTTTTGGAGATTCTGGTTGTCCACAAGGTCATCCTTCCCCAAAAGTCAAAGTGGCACCAAACTGCATTTACTCTAGATGCATCCAGTGGCAACCTGCTTCTGGACCAGTCTTGCCAAGAAAACAGCTTTAAGGCACTCAACAACAGGGGCCTATGAGCCTTTTAAGAGATTGCACAAAATAAAAGCAGAAAAGCAAACTCCCCCCTCCTCTACTTTATACCTATGAAGGTTGAGTTTAAACCCAACAAAAACAATAGTGATTGTAATTTCAGGTTTCCTCTTCACTGCCTGCTTGCCAGAGAACATATTCAACATGGATTTTTGAAAGTAACTGAGCTATTCCTACCTTTGCTTTTTTTTGGGGGGGGGGCAGTTCTTGGGATAAATGAACCCTACAATTTCCCCCAGGGATGCCAAACAGTGAATTTAATGTAATGATTCAACAAAATTGTGCTAGATCCATTCTTCCACACAACTCAAGATGTAGGCTCACCCTTAGATGGGAAAGCCCCATCCAGTCCTGAACTTGGGTAACTCACAATGCCAAGTTAACAACCTACCTTACAAGAAGAAGAAGAAGAAGAAGGAGAAGAAGGAGAAGAGGAGGAAGAAGAAGAGGAAGAAGAGGAAGAAGAGGAAGAAGAGGAAGAAGAAACGAGAGAGCACATCACATTCTGCCTGAAACTCTTTGATGGAATAATTCACATACTTCTGCTGTCTCACTTTGGCATGGATAATTTGGCTCAATCCTCTGTCATCGCACCCCCCACTCCCTTTCATCCTTGTTCTCAAACTTACTTCAGCCGATCCATTTTCATGGTTTCCTCCTTTCTGTTGAAAATGTCTGTATTCCCTATGCGGCATAGGGAAGCTGATGAGGAAACACAACATACAAACTATCTACAGACCCACCAAGAAAATCCAACAAATGCTACATTCAGCAAAGGACAAGAGGGATCCTCTCACTTCTGCAGGAGTCTACCGTATACCATGCAGCTGTGGAAAAGTCTACATAGGGACCACCAAATGCAGCACCCAAACATGAATCAAGGGACATGAAAGGCACTGCAGACTACTTCAACCAGAGAAGTCAGCCATAGCAGAGCACCTGATGAACCAACCTGGACACAGCATTTTATTTGAGAACACAGAAATGCTGGAGCACTCTCACAACCACCATGTCAGACTACACAGAGAAGACATTGAAATACACAAGCATGTGGACAATTTCAACAGAAAGGAGGCAACCATGAAAATGAACAAAATCTGGCTACCAATATTAAAAAACTCTAAAATTACAACAGCACAACAACACAGAGGAAACAATCTGGGACATCTAACCACCTCTCAACAAAAGATTGCCCTAGGCATTGCCAGGCCATCAAATGCTAATCAAGGTGGTCAGTTGAAACATTCCCACCTAGCTCCAATAGACAAGAGTCCTTTGTCCCACCCTGGTCATTCCACAGATATATAAACCCTTTTTCCTAGTTTCAACAGACCTCACTACCTCTGAGTATGCTTGCCATAGATGCAGGTGAAACATCAGGAGAAAATGCCTCTAGAACATGGGCATATAGCCCGAAAAAAACCTACAACAACCCAGTGATTCCGGCCATGAAAGCCTTCAACAATACATTTAGACTTACTTTCAAGTAGAGTTTGAGGATCTTAAGAACTATGATGCTAGTACACCTGAGAAATCATTTATGCCATTTCAGATAACACAAAAGAATTGAATGTGTTTGTTCTTTCCATTACGTTTATTATTTTTCACCACCCCACCCTTGCCCCCTTGTCTATTTATTCCATTCTTCCTCCCCCACCCTTGGCAGTGGGAATATTTGTAACATATATCCAGTGTTTATTACAATTGTTGGATCATTTCGAAGCACATATGGTTCTGATCTGGATTCTGAGCGCAACAGTGCTTTTCTGTACTCCTAGGAACATTTTTACACTTCTCTTCTAGTTTAAGATTATCTGTTGCCCAGTTGGATTTAGGCCCAAAATGTTCCATTTTACATTTTGCCTTAGTCTATACAATAAGATTAATTGTTGTACCTTTTGTTTTTTTTCTTGAAGGCCATCCGAAGTGTTTTCCCTTTTTCTGGAGATTGATTAACGGAAAGAAGAAACAATATTGCAAGGATCAAGAAGTCACAAATATTTAGAAACAATGTTCTGAAGGTGGAATATGACCCATTCGGATCTGCAGATTTACAATAAGAATGGATACATATAATACATTTTATTTTGTCAAAATACATTTTATCTGGCCAAACTGTCAGATACGCAGATATCACACATGTTTCCATGCACAACATACAAAAACACACCTCTATCTTTTTTTAAAAAAATGGGACAATTGGATGAGTATATACATCCCAAGTGTTACCGATCACGGGCCACTTCATAAAGCAATACATGAACAAACTAGGCTGGAAACCCTAGCCATATGGCAACTTTCAATATGCCTACTTGATACGTGCATGCATGTTTTAAATGTCAGCTGTAACTTTCATGATGTATGTGTTTAGAATGATTAAAGTAGTCATTTACCACCAATTGATTATGCTTTTCTATAACTATACTTTTGCACATACTAGATTGCCATGTGTTTGTGCAGCAATGAAAGACTATAGTAATAATAATAGTAAAGGTAAAGGTTTCCCCTGACATTAAGTCTAGTTGTGTCTGACTGGGGGTGGTGCTTATCTCCATTTCTAAGCCGAAAAGTCAGTGTTGTCCATAGACACCACTTAGGTCACATGGTCGGCATGACTGCATGAAGCGCTGTTACCTTCCTGCAGAAGCAGTACCAATTGATCTTCTCACATTTCCATGTTTTAGAACTGTTAGATTGGCAGAAGCTGGGCCTAACAACGGGAGCTCATCCCACTCCCCAGATTCAAACTGCCAGCCTTTTGGTCAGTAAGTTCAGCAGCTCAGCAATTTAACCCGCTGTGCAACCAGAGGGCCCAACAACGACAACAACAATCATGAATTTATTACCTGCCTCTCCCTATGGCTTGAGGCAAGATACAAAATCATTTTAAAAAGAGATAAAACACTATTAAAAGACACACAACAAGACAGACAGTTTTGAAATACAAGTTAAAATCCACTGATAAAATGCATATTAAAATTCACAACTTAAAATTGACTGGGTAATATGGGCTGATATGCCTGCAAGAAATGGCTGATTATACACACACACACACACACACACACACACCCCAATATTTTATATTCGATTATACTGATGTTCAGAGGGTGGGGTGGGTCTAGAGGACATTACAGAAAAACTTCTAGTATACTTTGTTTCCCAATTTAGTGCCCCACCGCTACAAATATGGTTCACTAGAGAGCTCTAGTCCACCCCGAACTATTCCCAAGACAGTTTGAATGATGCTTTCCATATAATAGAAATGGTGGTAGCAATATATTTCTGGGATTGTTGCTGCATTACACAGTGGCTTCTGAGGTGGCCACTATGGCCCATTAATTCAGGGAAATTATTCATTCCTAGCACAAAGTATTCCATCTAATGCTCCAAAGGTCTTCACAACAAAATCCAAAATCCACAAAAAGCAACGCCTTTGTAACTAAAAAGCACAAAATACACAATGCAAACCTTTGAAGCTTTAGACCATCTTACCTGGCATCAGAAATAATAACTGAAACAGAATGTAGGCTGATGGCTTTAACATTGTCACTTTTCTTCTCTTGCATAATTTTAACGTCATTGTCTGATGAAGAAGTCTGTTAAATGTCAAAAGTTTCAATTATGAATTTTGTGTGTGTTTTTAAAACTAGCCTGATGAATGTATGGATTTTTTTTTTGTATTTAGCTACATGGCAAACACATGAATATGTTTCCAAAAGTTTTTAGCTCATTTTATTTTCTGTCCACTGTGTAAGCGTATCCCAGGCTGTCTTCCTCCAGATGTGGTGGTTTGTGAATGCTCTGATAGAGCTGAACATAATAGTTTTGGAGTACAGCCAAATAATGGTTTGTCGTGCTACTTGCTCAAAAGTGATATCCAACACTGTACAACCAGGAATATGAGCAGTTCCTTAGGTGAAGATAAATCATTTCAAGAGCATATCTGTGATCGACACAGGAAGCTGTATGAACAGGTCAAACCCACAATCGCTGAAAAAGTCATTTTTTGGACTGGAGCTCCCAGAACTCCCTAGTTAGCATGGCCACTGGGTATTTGCTCTGGAAGAAAGAGAATTATGGATGAGAATGATAACTCAATAAAATAAGTTTTCCAAGCTGTGACTATGCATGAGACCAGATTTAAGAGCATCATTTTAATTTCCTGAATATAAATCATTTTGTTGTCAAAGAACGGTGTAGGAAACACCAGGGAAAACTGAGTCAGATGTACAATTCAGTCTTGATGTTAATAATACATTACAGTGGAGTGACATCAGACTCATTTTCTCCGGGAATAAAATTCTTCATTGTCTGATGTGGGTGGTCTATTAGTAAGGGTATGCATTAAATTTATTTGTGGCTTTGTAAAAGCATCAAGTGAAAGGATATTACATTTATGTAAATAGGAGCCCCCGGTGGTGCAATGGGTTAAACCCTTATGCCAGCATGACTGAAGACCGACAGGTCGGAGGTTCAAATCTGGGGAGAGTGTGGATGAGCTCCCTCTGTCAGCTCCAGTTCTCCATGTGGGGACATGAGAAAAGCCTCCCACAAGGATGGCTATATATATAGCCATCAACAACATCTGGGCGTACCCTAAGCAATGTCCTTGCAGACAGCCAACTCTCTCACACCAGAAGTGACTTGCAGTTTCTCAAGTCACTCATGGCATGGAAAAATTATGTAAATACAAGTGGAGACAAACAAAATTAATAGTTGTATGTTGATGTTTGCAGTATCTTATGTGGCTGTTTACACTTTAATATGTAACTGCTTCTACACATGTTCTGTTTGCATGCTTCTCTCTCTCAAATGGTTTTGTCACATACTCCCTTGCCACTCATCCAAACCTTTTAACTGCCATTTTGTGTTCTTTCCTCTTCCACAGTGGCTTAACATAGTCCCTAAGTGCTGAGAAGTTATTTGTACACACATATTCTGACATTTTAGTTTTCATACACTTTCCCACAGCTTGGACCACTACTCTTGAATTCTTTCAGCTACTCACGCAATTTATTTTATGCACTTTAATTCCGCTGTATACTTTCTCACAGAGTGGGCTTAATGCATCTCAAATAAGGAATTGCTTAAAACTTGACAATACTTTAAAAATACCTCCATAAATAAAAAAAAAATAGCTATTTGATTTCATTTCAACAAAGAAGCCAGAGCTCTTGCAGTTATGGAAATATTTGCTTAGTTCCGTTCCAGTTCCCTTTCATTGAGTTTATCAACTTTACTAACTACAAAATCCCAAATTTTGAATTTCCTTCAAATTGATGATTTGTTGTAATGCCTCCTCTCCTGCATTTTGCAGTGTACTCAAAACCTGAGGTTGCTAGTAAACACCCTTAAATCCAACATTGTCTGATTTGATCCAAATTTGTGTCAAAGTTTTTGTGCTTGTTTTGTAGCAATGAGAACCTCCCATTCTGCAACACTCTCAGAACTGAGATAGAAATGTCTCCAGCCAGAGTTTTTAAAATACTCCAAACCAGTGGTTCCCAACCCCCCCTTTTTACCATGGACCACTTGACCAGGGGCCCCTTGAACAGGGACCACTTTGACCAGGGACTACTCTCCAACATTAGTACCAAAAGGATTATAAATCAGTTTTTGATAAACTTTAGATTCAGTTTGGTTATTTGGGATGATTCAGAAAATTGCATTGGATAGGCCACATAAGCTCTAATTTCTGATACAGAACATATGCCATCCAGTAATTGCCATCTGCTCACCCACAGAAAACCCTATTTAATAATTGAGAGCCAATGTGGTAGTAGTAACATTTCATGGGCAGTCAGCCCTCTCCCCTCTTGCCTTGGCACTATAAGCAAGACCAGAAACTCTCATTGCCATGCGGTTTCAAGGCAACGGTGTAGTAATGGTGAGGCTGTGGACCATATTTTTATTCTTGAGGACCACTGGTGGTTCACGTTGGGAACCACTGCCCTAAACTCACCATTGCCCAATCCCCCCAAATCTGTCTTGAAGTTTTGCAATTGCTTTGAACTCCCATCAGTCAATGTAATTGTCTTGCCCACCAAGGCAAAGCTGTGGCACACATGTGATCATATTGTATTTTGTGGTGTTTACTATACTCTCATGTGAGATACATGTTCCTTGCTTTTGAGGGTGTTGAGGTTTTTTTTTAACTGGGCAAACCAAACACTGCTGCATTCTTGGAATGAATTGGATTGGATTTTGGAGATCCTAAGGGATTATGTGCTTGTGGGTATTGCAAAATTTGGGGCTTTCAATTCAAAATTTTGGTACAGAGTTTCCAAATTTGGTTAATTATTGTAACAAAATTGTCTTTATCTAATTATGTTGGTAAATGGAGAAAACACGTTTTCCTGGAAAGCTAGACCTCTCTAAGGGGGTGATGAGCTATTTGAACCCACATAGGACCTCAAGGCTCCCTTAATATTCAACACAAATTTGAGAGCCTAACAATTTAAAGGTCTGGAGCTATGGCAGAGATACATTCCTGCTCTATCTCTCTGCCTATAGGTTGAAATGTAGTGAAAGTTATCCAAATGTTTGACTGAATATTGTGTGATTGAGTTGTCAGTTAGAAATAATAAATTTGTAATAGACTGAAATTGTGAATTATAGTGTATTATCCAAAACCTACTTTTATTTGAGTTATAGTGGCTATGCACACACAGTGTATATTGTTAGCTAGAGTTGAGTTACTGTATATTCCGGCATATAAGACGACTGGGCGTATAAGACGACCCCCAACTTTTCCAGTTAAAATATAGAGTTAAGATGACTCCCATGCATAAGACTACACCCGCGTATAAGACGACCCCTGACTTTTGAGAAGATTTTCTTGGGCTAAAAAGTAGTCTTATACACCAAAATACACTGTAGTTTCTTTTTTACTTCCCCCCCCCCCCCAAAAAAAAAAGAGTCCCATGCAAGACAAATGTTGCACACTTTAACTGTAAAAAATGTATCTTTGTTTAATTCATAGTTTCACCAACAACATGGTTTAATTCTAGGGTGTGGTGGTAATCACTGGAGGCAGATTTAAAATAATAGGACATGTATTTGTATGCACTTTTAAGTTGCCGGTCAATTTATGCTGATCCCATGGACTTCATAGGATTTTGTTCAACAGAAATGGCTTTGCTAGTTCCTTTCTCTGAAAAATAGCCTGCAGCACCTGGTATCCATTGGTGACTTTGAGGATTTGGTGCCCTTTAAGGTATTGCTAGATAATTTTTGAATGTTCATTTTGCAGGATTATTCTAACAAAACATCAAGAAGTACAAAAAGATACCTAATATAAACATAAGTATAGTCTAGCTACTTATCCATTCATTCACATTTTTAGCAATTCAGAAGGGAATGATTTCTGTTATGCATATTGATGTAAATTCAGTTAAGT